TTATAAAGGTGGGTTATTCTGATTTACCAGAGAAATGGGAGGGATTTACATACACCCCTCACCCTGTTGAATGGCAAAGAAAGTGAAAATGAAGAAAGAGAAGAGAAGAAGGAGAGGAGGAAGGCAATTTGAATGAAAAGGAGAGATACAACACCTTCCTCCCTTACCGGTCTTTCACCCCCCCCCCCCCCCTCTATCTCTCTGTTGTCCTCAATTCGCTCTATCTACCTCTCAGCATTTAATCAAACCGATGTTTATTTTCATTGTAGGTTTACATTTTGTGTCTCCTTTGTCTTTATTTCCCATGTGCTGTTTCAAGCATCCTGTTTCATTCTATCTGCATCCTTCACAAAATGATGGTAGCTTAGTTGGCAGTTTGCTCATGTACAAGGTTACTTACAGGAGGTTGAATTGGCATTTGCGTTCAATCATTGTTTAACAAACACAAATACCAACTCGAGACTGTCTTCTCTTCCTCATGATTCGTAGAAGAATAAGAAGGAATACGTTCAATATGTTAGTATCAGAGTTAAGTAAATGATGTTATGTTGTGAGATGAACTACCTGTGTATCACTTTGTAAGAGTCATAATGGGTCATTAGCTTTGTGATAAAAAACATGAGTACGGAAAGTGGAGAATTTGAGGAGAATGAATGCTAAGGAGAGAATAAAAGGAGGGTGGAGAGGAAAGGAAGAGACATAAATTGTTCAACAGAAACATTTAGGAAGAGTTGGGGAGAAGTGCTTGGTTCAATGTGGCATGATTAAGTTTAAAAGCATCATGGGTTTGGTTGCGATATATATCGGTTGATCATCTGTAAAATTCATGATTGCATCAGGGGACATTGAATTGGCACTTGTGTTTCAACTCTCGATTTGATAGTGCTCTTACTTTTCAAAGCTAGATGATTCAGAAGATATGTAATGTGATCAAAATATGTAGTTGTCATATGTTTGATCGCTTTGTTTATAAATTAGTTTCAACCAAAGTGGCAGAATGGCAGTTAAGTGGGAAATTATGCTAGAGAAGAGATATTACTTCAGATGCACTATAAATAAATAAATAAATGAATAAAAATGGTGCTTATAAAGTGCTTATCACCAAAGTCTCTATGCGCTATAACAAACAAAATACAATGATAAACAATTACATACATACATACATACATCCTCCTACACCTGAATGATGAACTACAATGTCTCACTTATTATTTCATGATGTGGATATGTCACACAGCACAATTCTATACTATTCATGTTACCCCCATTAAAATTTAACTGGTAAGAGGCTCAATTTCATCTGTTAAATCATTCATTTTTTAATTTGGTCATGACATTTTTGTCTCTGGTAACTCAATTGTCAAATTGTGCTTCAAGTCAATGGCATTTCACTCAGCTGTGGTTCATTTGACTGTTCAACATTCAATGAGAGTGTAGTATAAACTACATTTCCATCTATAGACAAATGTAATTTGCAGCTATTAGGGAGTTTTGCCCAAACAATTTGAGTGATGATCATGATGTATTGCTAAAGGATTCATCTTCAAACTCAAAGTTTAGTTTTGTTGGTATAGTAGTACTTAAAGGAGACTTAAAGTTAAACATTAAAACATGGAATTAGTGAGTTATATTTTCATAACTAAGTGCAGACATTTGGAAGGACTAATGCAGAGCATGGCATTTCACTAGCATTGTTGCCCTTTAGTCAGTAGAAACTTTTAACTTGTTTTCACTTCATTTAAAGAAATATCCTCAAGTGTTTTCAGACCTCATTTCTTGAGAGGGCCCTGACAGAATCAGATACATGCTCTGATTGCAAAAAGTTGTGTTTGCACTCAGTAGAATGTTCTGATTTAATTAGTTCCTACATTTTTATTTTCATATCAAAGTTGGGGAAATTTTACCTCTTATTAATTGCCAGGCAGTATGAATGATCACAATGACATGGCCATTAGTCAATATGATATTTTATTTGCACTGCTAATATTGAATGACTGATTATGGGCAGATGGGAACACTTTTGTGCCGAATACAATTGAAATAAAAAATTGAGGAGAGACGTTCTCCGTTTGAAAGTGCAAACAAGACTATGACGTGCACATGGTTGATTAGCCTAATACAACACAATAGAATCCCAGGACAAGGTTAGACAGCCCTCCCTAGATATTAGAGTAAGCATTCCAGCAATTTATATTCCATAAATAAATTAGCTGAATAATAGAGATCTCTCAGTGGCCACTTTCTCTAAGTCACTGAGGTGGAAATAATGGGTAGAACCTGCTAATAGCAGTGTGGGAGAACACGTCCGTCGCCTCAGAGACAGAAGCAGGTACTTCACCTCACCTCATCTGTCTTTAAGTGATTAAGTGAGGTATCTTAGGCTGAAAATAGCGTGTGAAAGACATTTCTTGAATTTTCAAATGTCAAAGTCACCAACTTTCAAGTCATAAACAGCAAATGTATTATGTGATTTTGAAAAGACAGAATCAGAGCACACTTTTGCGGGAGTGCATCTTTTGTTTGTTTGTAGTCTTGTAGGAATAGATCTATAGATACAGAAGTGATGGTGAACTATTGCACAGCCATTCGTTGATGACACTCTTTGAAACCTATGGCAAAACTTACCCCAAAACTTATCCCAAGATAAATGTATTTTAATAATAATAATAATATACAGTTCTTGTATAACGCATATCACATTTAAAAGTCTCTATGCGCTTCCAAATTTGGAAATTATTACCCCGGCTTTAGCCTAACTGCCATTACGGCGCTCTAGCATTTCAAGGAATTAATTCCTACCAGGTACCCATTAGATAGTTTGCTATTAATGGAATCACCTTATTAATACCCATTATCATTTGGAGTTTAGGACTATTGCTATATAACTCCATAGACTTTGAACCCATTAAATACTAAGCCTAGATTACTTAGGCTGAAGTCTGTTGATAATTTTTGTTATATAAAAATCAGATCATATCCAATTGATTCATACACTGTTCTTCTTTGGGAACTCCCCTTAAAAATATATTTTTGAGATGTATCTTCTTGAATAATGCATTACCTGTAATTTTTCAGTTCAGCAACAATTTCATCTGAGATACATGTTTATAATTAGGTGGATCAGCTATAATACAATAATATATTGATCAGTGGTGTAGGATAAAATCATAGAAAATAAAAACAAGATATGCTATTTCTCAAGAAATTAAGGCATTCCATTGTATTCGTGACCAGGCACCCTAAAACCACCAAAAGGTTGCCAGATTTGATTTTGTAGTTTAGGTCTGATTTTAATGGAGGAGATTCTCAGCTTTAAAAATAACTCATTACAGTTGGATTTTCCTAGCCAAATGACAAACGAGAAGAAAATCCAGTCTGATAGAATTTAATTTTAGAAAAAAGGACAGTATAAGTCTGTGCTCTATTGATGTACTCTGACTCACAAGGAGTTGTGCAAGGTGAATAAAAAGGAGAATCAGAACTCTATAGAAATATCTGTGACTGGATTATCAAATTGACCTCAAACTTGGCACACTAATTAAGTTTATCATGTTCCTTATTGTGACCTAAAGAGACCAGTAGCCATTGTCATAGAGAAATGAAAATTGCTATTTAAAAAATCAGGGTCAGACAGTCGTAGGTCTACAAAAACTGTCCAAAAATCCCACTTTCAGATTATTTTGTGCTTCCTAATTTTTTAAAGATATAGGTAGAGGAAAGTATACTCTTCCAGGAAAAACTAAAAATTTAAAATTTGACCATCCTGACCAACTGCACCTTAAAGGGATCTGGTAACTTTGTCTCAGATTTTGAAACAAAGTCCTTGATTTAGCTCATGCTGCAATGATAATTATAAACCTTTAGGTCAGTCAGGAACCCCATGACTTTTACAAGCCAATTCGTCGCTGTTTTCACGAAGGGAAGGTAGTGAAAAAAAATTGCATTCACTTTGCGTGATGAGATTCCTCACTACCGTCACTTCGTGAAAATAGGGACGAATTGCTTGTTTGATTATCAAGATATTTATGATTGAAAATCGGAACCAAATTTTGCGTTTTTCTAACGGTTTTCATAACACTACCGCCTATTGCGCAAAACGAGTATGGTAAGATTTTTATTTTTTTGAGGCACTTCAATATTACACCATATCACAGACATTGATAACACGTATGGCTGTGCATCTTAGATTTAACATTGTTGAACGATGCGTTTAATCAAGCTGATACTCAAAATCACACCATGCAATTTTTGTTTAAATCTTCTTTTTTTTTGGGGGGGGGGGGTGGGTGTGTCTGGACACATCATGTGTTACGTATTACCTCAGAGTTGTATTAAAAATGACAAATAGATATATGCAAAATCTCCTTTTTACTACTTTGACTTCACAAACTCTGCACTGCAATACTGTTGAACTACCTGTCGCAATTTACTTACCAACATCTCAACATGTACATTTTGAGAATGATTATTTAAATATTTAATGGTCTATGGCGCTAACATGAATAATTAATTCACAAAGAACAGCCTCAGGGCTAATGCCATGGTGTAATTAGCTTTATTAATGCGATAGAAATTACTATTGTGTAGGTTGATTTAGTTAATGTGGTTGTCTATTGATAATGAAATGCAGCTTTTCTCCTGTTCAGCTGTTCTTCATTGCAAGGTCAATCTGAAAAGAACTAAAAGTGAATAATCCTGTTGCAGCGTCCATAGTTTCAATATTGAATGGTGGTAGTCTAGTTGGATGTTGGCTTGTTGTAAATGAGTTATTGGATAATAACATCAAACACATTAACTTGATTAACTGCTCCTCCTTTGTGACCTGTAGTAGTTCACTTTTCATACATTTAATCATGTAATATTTTGTCATTCATCTTTCAGAAATCTGCACAAGTCAGAGCAATGCTGATAATGCATGTACTTTCATATTTATTTACTGTATTTTTGATTTTTCATATTTAATTTGTTCTTCATTTTCTTTCTTTTTTCTTTTTTCATAGATCTTTGATCTTCATATGTCACCTAACACAAGCCTTGGATGATCTCATTAAACAACCGTTCCCACATAAAGCTGATGGTATCTGTAACTGGACAAATCCTAAGTGAAAAACAAGGGAGGAAACTGTATATAAAATGTTCCAGCTTGGACATTTGTTGACCTAATTCTACACATAGTCAACTTTTGAGCTGTCGTACATGAACTGTTTTAAATTATGAGAATGATGCCTTTGAAAGGATTCTTTGCAAGCAGACAGAGCTATATTTTCAGTATCTGAACCAGCTTGTGTGGATATTCCTATTTAAGTTCAGTTTTACTGAGCCATCTAACTTTATATGTTTGTAAACAAAAATATGTAATGTATTTTATACCTGTATTAATGTGCTCAGTTTTTCATTTATTTGCCCATGTGAACACTACCCCAGAAATATTCAGTGGTAATTATCTATGAATCAGACAGTATTTCTCTGTATTAACTGTCCTAAAAACATCTTACACATATCAGGCCTAGAGCAGTTTTAGAAAGCAGAAACCATTAACTATCTCCAGAAAGAGATCTCTTTCTGAAGATATCACTCCATAGATATTATGCTGATCATGAAAGTCATTTGTTACAGTACATTCACATTGATATACCGGTACTGTCATGATTTTTATTAGGAACCTGCAATAATCACGCTTTTAAGATTCTGAATTTTTATAAAAATGCAAGACTGTAATGTAAGTGATCCTTCACATTTTCTTTGCTGTCAGATTTTAATGACGTATTGTAGAGCCTCGTAATATTTTACATATTTTACACGTCAAGAAGTAATCCCTCTTTGGGATAGGCTTTCTAGATCTCCGATATTCATAGAAAAATAAGGAATATACAAGGAAGCTCAAATATCATATGTCATAATACTAATTCATATGCGCACTTCATTTAAGTGAAAATCCTTCTTTGAAAAGTTACTTCACTGTATATTTTGCATGTTTTGATGTTGTTTAAACCTAAATCCGAACCTAAATCTGGCTAAAAATGATTGCTATTTTTACAAAATCTTGTTTTGTCATAACAGATGATAGTAGGTTCAACTGGAATGCTCTAGGAAAAGGTCAATGTACAGTACAGCTGTGATGATGAAGCTAGTAGTGAATTTCAAGTCTATTTTCCATCTTGTGATTAAAATAAATATGATATGCTCTAATGTCCAACTTTGATGGATTATAGCACATTACAAAATAATGTGAAAAGGATTCAATTGTAATATCTAGATCCAATCGGATTGTGTTCAAAATTTGGAAATGAAGTTTACCTCTTTGTTGCTCTGTGTTAAATAATTTGATAAGGCAGAACATATGGGCTAGGTGTTGTTAGAATATTTGTCGATTTTGTGGTGTAATAAAATATGTTCATTTTTTATGTAAAGAACACTTGCATGATCAGTTGTATCCTGTGTTATCTATTTGAAGATATTAAGTATTGAATGAGGATATTACTATTAATGTTCTTTATTCATTGTGCCACAATTGGTTTTGAACCCAAACAAGTTACCAGGTATACATGCAAAAAGTTTGAGCTGGTAATGAACACGAGGACTATATAGGACATCAAAATTCCCTCAAAATCAGGAGTTTTCTGCTAAAAAAATATTTATATAGGGGGTCTATATAAAAATAGCAATGATAATAATAAATTAAATTTAAAATTTAAAAAAAACAAGAAAAGCCCCTTGTAAATATAAAAATTCTCTCAGCAGATAAAATAGAGAGGTTTCTGTTGAAGCAACAACAACAAAAAATTAATAATAATGATAATAATGAATTAATTAAAAAACCAAACATACCTTGTAAAATATTTAGATATGACTGATTTAATCACTTAGATCTCTAAAATCCAGCGAGATTTCGAAACACCTATTATCCATTCTCAAATTTCAATCTCTTGCTTTCATTTGCTTGTTTTCTGTTTCCAGCTGTAAGCACATATCCTGAAAGTAATACGATTTGGGTTTAGAAAAAAACAAGTTTCAAATGTGCCCTGTTTCTTTGTGGCTTTCCGAAGTTTTTTCAATTAATAGATGCAAGGAGAGAGCTTCTATCTTCGGTGACTCAAAATGTAAACATCTTTTTGGGGTATCTAATTCTCTGGTGAGATATATCCGATACATCAGGAACGACTCACCACCGGACAGATAAGGTATATCTTTCATTTCCCAAGGATGAAGTAAGAAATGGAAATGTATCTCAAACGATGCCCTGTCGGTGTAGCCTTACGAAGAATTAAGGCTGGAGAGGGTTCGCTAAAGGATCATTAAAATTGTTATGTCATTGGATGGAATCCCCATCGTGTCGTATTGCTGTATGCTCGAAATGTATACCTGCGCTCAGAGAAATCAAGTCCAAATTTAATAGTCGGAATCTGTAATTTAATAATTCTTGTTCAACTTGTTCTTCTTTGGTAGAATAGAGTTACTGTTGTCTCTCTCTCTCTCTCTCTGTCTGTCTCTCTCTCTTTGATCTTGCTCACTCATTCTGTGTATATTTCTCTTATTGAATTAAGGAATGTAAATTATTTTTTAAATTGTCCATATTTCTTTGATCAAGTAAAGATATTTTTATCAGACAAACACGGTGAGAAATGTCCAAGTGTAAGCGTCGTGGGAAAACGAGCAAAACTATCAGGCGGTTATACCTTCATTATGAAACGAGTGAAATTGATGCTAAGGTATGAATTCCACTTAATTACATTAAAAAAGAGCAGTCTCCAAGAATGCCACTACTCTATAAAAAACAGATATCACACGAAGACTGTATCGCTGTTTCTCGTAAAATAATGCAATTATTTGATATTTTTAAAGAATTTCATATGTAGAAAATAATTAGAGAACGAGGATAAAACTTGTGCTATAGAGGATGCACTTCTCTAGAAATAGCCGCCAAACGTGCACAGTCTCGTTTCATTCAGTTGTTTGGCAACTCGCTATGCAATTTTGTGTTCTATATTTAAAAAATAAATATATAAGACATAACAGAAAGATTTGGTCATAGGTTATAATTAATGAAATACACTATCCTCTCAAAAGCGATTTTTTTTTTTTTTTTTTTTTTTTTTTTTTTTTTTTTTTTTTTTTTTTTTTTTAAAGACGACAATATTTTCAATTTAATTTTGTGCCAATTAATTTGATGGAATATCGAGGTCCGTAAAATGTCTATGATAGGGATGATGATGACCATTTCAAGAAATTTTAAGCAATGAAACGTGAGGGAGAGAGAAAGAGAGAGAGAGAGAATGGGAGGGACTGGAGATATTCTTCCAAATTTTAAACTTGTGAGAAAAACACGTTTGTGATGCGGTTGTATTCACTACTCTATTATATTATAAATCTCATTTCTACTCAGGATATAATTATACCAACTTCGGGTATTCCTTTAAAACGCACCCCTGAAGATCTGGGACCCGTTTCACTAAGCCTCAATTCGATGTCAAAAATCCGTGAAAAATCTGATGATAACCAATCAGAAGCAAGGATTTCAGTAGCTTAAAACAAAAACTGTCATTTGTCACTGATGACAAGTTTTGTGAAATGAGGCCCTGGTGTTCCATGTTTTAAGAAAGAAATAAAAGTAGATAACATGATTTTCTTTAAAGGTTAGAGCTGGGTTGGGCAAAATTGTCGGTGGATGGTGGATGAATGATGATTTTACATGAAGGCGATGCAAGGCGATGGCAAGACATCAGCCTTCCTGGTTTACAGAGACAGAGAAAGTGTTCACCTGTTACCCTTCCACGTTTCATCATGATATGCTATCATGCTGTGTTTGCATTCTCAGCCAAGGGCAACGATTAGCAGATCAAAATGTAACATTTACTTTAGCTATAGGCATGATAGGTGAGGAGAGGTAACGTCTTTTATTTTTCTTAGAATGAAGTACCTCGTACTTGATTTTAAGGGCCCTAAATCGTCCTTAACATTGAAACAAGTTTTTATTGATCTCGTGAGGTTTTTTTTAACACCGATAACATTTCAGCGGAAAGTTTTCTCAGGATTGTTACCGTTATTTAGTAGCTTAACAGTCGGAGCAATATTGTCTGCAACTGTCTGGAATATGTTTTTCAGGTTAATAATATCAGTCAATATAACAAAGATGATAATGAGTGAAATGCATTAAGTACAATCTTCCTTCTTCTTAAGGAATTTAGCTTCTATTTTTTATCGAATAAAAGGAGTAACAACGATACGCTTACCAATTCAGGGGGTGTTTCAAAGACTAAGATCAACTTAAGTCGGACTTAAACTATGGCAGGCCATTCGTGCCACTGGTCGCTCTCACCATTGGTCTCTCAAGGGACGTCACAAATCTACAGAATTTACATTTTTGATTGTTCATTGTTGAAGAAAAAGGTACTCACATTTTATACTTGAGTTATATTTAGGACTTGGACTTATACTACCGTATGCGATTTTTGCCCTTAAAAGTTTTTTAACCAAATTAGAGGGAAAAAACGTTAGAAATTAATGATATTTAGATAATTTTTTCCGTCAATAATGAAATATAAAACAATGTAAATTCTGTATAATTGTGACCGTGATTTTTAAGTTCCTTGAGAAACCAATGCCAGGAATGGTTAGAGGAGCTAGTGGCATGAACAGCCTGCCATAGTTCAAGTCCAACTTAAGTCGATCTTGCAGCCTTTTCACACACAGCTAAAATTCATCGTATCCAGAGATGATTAGTATAAACATGTTTAACTCAACAGTTTTAAACATGTTTATAGAAAATTTTCCCAGTGTGAACATCGTTTATACGATGTTAGGATAGATACGAAGTCGCGATCCATACGCCCCTAAAAGCAGGCTGCGGATACGAAGTTCGTATCTAGAGAGCTTGACATTTTGTGTGTGAAAGGTTATTCGTGTTTAAACGTGTTTCAGACGTGTTTAAACTGGATGGAGCGTGCACTTTGATTGATATGGCATGACCTTCAATGCTCAATGGCACTACTGCGCATTTTACGAGCAGTAGTTAATCACGAAACGATTAACGATCGCACCGAAATTTCTGTGTGTGAAAGGCTCGTGATTAGTTTAAACACGTTTCAAACACGTTTATACTAATCATGTTTATAGAATTTTAGCTGTGTGTGAAAAGGCTGTTAGTCTTTGTGAAACACTCCCCTGTTATAACAAAACAAAGTACTTCGCATATAACATGCCATCACAACATGCAGCCTGTCTGAAGCGCAAGTTGGAATTCGTGTGCGGTATAACTCTTTCATGATGGCAGCATGGGCCCTACCACAAAGTCCATGATTATTAAAGTAAGTCAGTATGTAGCTGCTCTTGTTTACACGAATTCCAATCACTTATCAAATCATTACAGGCTGACACATCCGATGTCCCTCGGCTATCATAGCGTACATTTTTTGTCATCCACCTATATGCATTAACGCCATACAATACCGATTATCCTCCCGCTATAGCGGTATACTAGTGCAACGAGAGCCACATGTACCACATTTTGAGAGTCCTGTCAACACCTTTGCATGCTCAGAAGAGTGCAGCAAAGTACCCATCATCAATGAAAGACCACATCCCCCCTATCAGGGGAGAACACCCCCCCCCCCCTCTTCATGAGCTTATGGATACCCAATGTGAAATAACAAACAAAATTTGAAGAAAAAAGGTACAAATTACAATAAAAGGCTCCAAATAATAATTATGTAGAGATCGAAAGACATGCACGCCAGATGGCGGATTTTCCCGCTCTCCTTTGGGTCATTTTCAATTTTTGTTCTAAATAAAGACCTAGCCTATAAATAGAAATATATATATATATATATAAGTGAAGTGGAACGGAAGAATTTGGTCCCATTGATTTTAAGCTATATCTTTGAATTTCAGTCTGGTCCAATTTTTTTTTTTACGAACACCAGTTTACCTTCCATGATTCCTGTGTTTCATCACTCTATAAATCGATGACAGATTCATGAAAGCTGTCTTACTGTGGTCCGATATCAACTTTCAATTTAATCAAAGATGTTAATAGACATAACTTTCTTACCTGATCCAAATGAAGCAATTTCATTGATTTATTTATTGATTGATTGATTGATCTTTAGTTTCTTCAGAGGAACGTGTAGACTCTTTCTGAGCTATGAGGGACTGCTTTACAACTGGTTCGTCGTTCGGTTTATAATTATACCTAATCAAATCTCAAGAACATTTTACATGTTTAAGATGTTAAAACGAACTGTTTTTATATTGGGTTCAGACAAGAAACTAAGTAATATTGTCACACCAATCCCAGTTTTAAGTAACATACACCGGCGCAGAAAACCGCAACGAACTCCTCATAGAAGATATTCTTACCGCACTGATGCCACTTCGATATTATGTCCAGTTTATTCGTGTTCAAGCTGGTCATTACCGCCGCCC